TCTTCTAATATCGATATCAATAAAACTGCATCAATAATATTATTCATATTTATCAATATTGACAATATCGATGTTGCTTAAGATTCGCGTGATTCGTTTCGTGGTTATAGGCCAAATTAAGCTGCGAAACGTTCAAGGATAAGCACGTATTCGGAGTTAGTAATGGTCTGCACGTGGAGAAAACTGGAGGACACGCAAATTGTTCATCGTAGATCATAAGAATATTGAATTTTTTCAGAATATTGATCGTAATGATTTCCATGATAAAAATAAAATTATCACAAAGAATAAAAAAAAAAATTTCTAATATTTTTTTCAGAAAATAAACTAATTCATCGATCCAATTGAATTCGAATTTAAAATCGAAGACAAAAATATTGAGCGAGCAGGAGAGTTCTTCTTCTTTTCTTTTCGTTATTCAATAATGTAAATATAATGCAGAATAAAATATAGAACTATTTATAAAACTTGTATGATGTTATAGACAGTTAGAAATGATTGCTGACATTTAAAATTGTCGTGTAATGAATATACTTATGTATAATATATTCTATATTCTATATTCAATGAATTCAGCAATGATTAAAAAAAAAAAATTGTTACTTTAAAAAATATTCTAGTTTAATTCTGTTTTATGAAACACTTTGTATTGAATATCTATTATCCATTATGGATTATACTTTTTTCATTAATCGAATGTTACTTGGAAAGAATGAAACCTAACCTTAAAGTTGCATAATTTTCTAAATGATACAAGATAGAAATTAGATTCTAATACTTTTTCAATCCTAATTATCCTATTATACGATTTTTGATAAAATTTAAGAGAATCGATTTCAAGTAAAAAAATTTTCTAGCACAAAATAAATCACTGTATCGACACCTTTATCTAAATTGAATTAAAAAAAAAGCAGTTTTTCGAAAGAAAGAGAGGTTATATTCATATCTGTAAAAAGAGATTAGAATAAACTTTTCCTCTGATTCAAGATTGCTCGAGCTCAATCAACGCCTGAACTTTGGCCTTCCTCTGAATTCCACAAATGCTTAAAAGCATATAACACCATTATCCTCCAGATACACATAAATTTTCATTAAAATCAAATTTTTCAATATACGTGAAATTTATTCATTTTTCAAAACCATCACTTCCATGAAATCAATAAAAATATTCTTATCTTTTCTTTCTGCCATAAATCTAATTTAACCTAATATAAAAAAATAGAAAAAAATACTCTCAATAATAATAATAATATATTTCACTCGTTCTTATTCCTCAAGAATGCATAGCATTCTTAAACAAAGCTAACCTAACCTAACCTAATGAAAAGAAAAAGTGAAAAATAAAAAATAAATATTTCTCCCCCCAATAATAACTACATTCCACTCGTTCTTATTCTTCAAGGATGCATAGCATCGTCCCATTATGGATATCGTTGGAACTCGTTAGAAAATCTGTGGAACGTGTTCATTGCTGAGCCGACGTCGTTTGCACAGCATTTCAAGAACTCTTGGCCCGTGCTTGAGACAAGCGCGCAGTGGTTACGTGGCACACTGTGCAACGCAAGCTTAAATGCAACGATCCAAGACGTAATTTTCGCGGAGAATCCGATCTCGTGTCGCAACGTGGACGAAGATCATGGAAGAAGTGTCCAAGGAATAAAAAAAAAAAGAGTTTTGGATGCTCTGATAAAAGTTAACTTGAGAGAGCGTAGGCTTTCACGCGTAAAAGTATCGGCTATTCACAGCCGTGGTTTCCACGTGGCTTTTAACGTAAACTCCATGCGGATGGCCGCACGCTTCTTTCTCTCGAAGCTTTTGCTTCTTCTGATTCAATTCAAATCATTCCTCTATGCATAACTATTTTTAATTTTTTTTTTTTGGTTTACAATATATTAAATAGGTACGGTATTAATTTTGTTTTTAATAGAATGAAAGAATTTTCTAAAAATTTAAGTTAAAGAGGTTCTCAAGACAATCCCTTATTTCTTTTTGCGTAATTATTTACAATGCCAAGTAGATACAGCATTGGTTATACATTTTCGATCGAATGGAGATTTATTTAAAAAAAAATTTAAGTTTTAATATAGATTTTTGTCGAAACAGTTTTTTTTTCTAATTATCGTATTTGTTACGATGTATTTAAGCTACTAATGTTATATTATAATTAGGTAGAAAAAAAATTAAATTAGATATATCCTACATCTTACTAGCTGATTTATAAGTTTTTTAAGCAAATTGCCCATTGAATTAATTGTTTCTATCTGTTTCATTTTTATTAGTAATAAATTAATAATAAAATTAGAAAATTTAAATACGAAAAGAAAGAAAGATTCTCCGATCGATATCCAGAATTTTTTTATCTTAATGTATCCTATAATAGTAAGTAAGAACAAATCTGTGTGTTAAGGTCTGACGTAAAAGTCAAATGTTTCTCAATTACATTGTATCCTTACCGTTAATCGTTTACTCAGGAAGTTTGATGAATTCTGTATTAGAGGGAGAGCTGTTTTCCTCAAGAAACTGCTGACTGTGCTGTTCCGTTTACGCTCTTTCGACCTTGTTTCGGTCTTTCCCTCAGTGTTTGTTCAAGCACTTTCCTCCTCAATCCGAAGACGGGAGGAATGATGTTGTTCTCTCAAGGCGCTGACAAGAAAATAGAAACTAAATCGAATAGATCAGATACTTTTGACAGATAAGCCGACTCCATATTTTTCCAGGCAGAAGATCAAGATAGAAATATCTACTACAAATTTTATATATATACATATATATAATCTGTTATGATATCTTATGGCTGTGATTTAAGAAATGTACAATTTTCTGAATTATTGAGAGCTCGTCAAATCAAGAAGAGAGAAGAGTATTCCTCGAAAAAATCGAGTTAATGAAAATTTCGAGAATTTGTCGTTCGTTCATTTGATTGCTGGACAACTTTTTTTTTTACAATATTTATTTTTTTTTTTGGTATCTTTCAAGAATTAAATATCAAATGGAATTTTGTATCGATTTTTTTAATTTTTAATCTGAATGAAATAAACTATTTGGAAATAAAGTAATTTTACTCTCAATTCGATATTCGTACTCTTCCTTATTATTATTCTAGGGAATAAAAAATTTCGGAGAGTTTTTTATCTTAATGAAATATCATATTATTCGTATCCTTTCATTCTGAAAGGCAGCATTCACTAATAAGAAGTAATTCTCGAGAAACTCGAATATATTCATGTTCTTAAAAACATATATATTCGTTGAACTTTCCAAAGTTTATTTTTCACCAGTAGTTGAGAGTAATTTTCACTCTGAACAATAATTCTCGAGATTATATTCGCATCCTTAAGAACGGGCAAGAAAGAAAAATCGATAAAATGAAGGCGAGGGAAATTTCGTTGTTGAATCTTTATACCTGGTTTTGCGCATATCAATTCAGAGCTACATAGCTTTCTCCTCTTTTATTCATGGAAACCGATCCTAGATGCTTCTTTTAAGTCCATCGATTCGAGTCGAGCACGATCCAATGATCCGTTTTGCTCTTCGATCATTCGATGGGACGTCGAGAAGCAGTAATGTCAAATTGATCCATTAGCAATAAAACGATCGTGCATAATTTTCCATTTCAATTTGGCCGAGTATAAAATAAAAAAAAATCACCAATGCTATTTCGTTTCAGTGCATGAAATTCGAGTTTGAGACGACATCGTTATTTATTTATTTATTTACGTTACTTGTACGTTCATCGATTCGATATTGGTCAATAATTGTTTAAAATTGTATAACAATAAGATGAGAATATTATTTTTTGTTTAAAAAAATGCAACAATGTTAACGCAATAAAAATTACTAGATGTGGCAAAATGGTTAATTTCTAAAATTTTTTGTTTTGTAATTACTGGAAAAAATATGGATATATTTTGAAAAAAATTGATATTTTATTTTACTGGGATATAATATAAAAAAATCGGATAACTTGACGATATATGTTATTTTGATTCTTTTTTAAATTCTGGGATTCTATGGAATATATTAATGATTCGATATAACTCTCGATCGGTAACGTAGATACGTGACTTCAAAATCACATGATATCACAGAGGGTTAATTTGCTTAAAACAATGACCAATTTCCATAACTCGTCGCTTTCTCGACCACGATCGAGCGATTCTCTCCGTGAACAAATTGATTCTCATTAGAATATCGGGATTCGAACAGCGAAAATCCATTGAACGTGAGGGGTGAAAAATCAATTTGGATAGAAATACAATTTCTAAGAGAAGAGAACACACTATAAATCAAACGACTTCGAATGAAATTTCGATGGTGGCTTCAAAGCAACTGAATAATAGTATAAAAATAAAATAACGAATTAACAGATAGATAAAAATTAAGTTATTTTTATATTTTTTAAAAAAATAAAAAAAAACGAGAGATATTTTATCGTTTAATTTATTAAATGTTAGAAAATCGTAAAAGCATAAAATATTATGACAACGATAAATATTAAAGACGGATAAAAATGAATGAAGGAGAAACGAAACGAACGAAAATCCCTAGTCGAACGATGGAGGACAAAAGCGTGATTGCTTGCTCGATTTTCTTTTATTTTGTCGGAGTGATTGAAATAAGTGGCATTGAAATGTTAAATGAATCGAAAAAAGAAATTTATTAAACTAGAAAGTTACTAGTTAATGATACGTTATGGTTAAACTCCAAAAAGTTTGGAATTATTTGTGCCTCTAAATTTAAGAATTTGGAAAAATGTTAGGTTAGAATCGTTGACTTGGAAAATTCTTTCGCCAAGAATCTATGAAAATAATAAAATTAAAGATTCAGAGAGAAAAAGAAAGAAAAAGAAATATAAATTTTATAAATATCCTAAAATGATGCAAACAAAAAACAAGTTAAAATCAACTTTCAATCGCATTAATTAATTAAAATTGTAATATTAAATGCAAAAGAAAATACAAGTGTTTAAAATTTAATCAACAGTTCTTCAAATCGAAAAGGTGGAAAATCTGGGATAGAAGCGAATTAAAGAAAATAAAACACGTAGTATGGACTGGATTGGAAGTGATATTGCGCGCGATCGGGTGATAAACGTTTCGTTTGAGGTGAACACACGAGGGATGGAAATCTGGATCGAGAAAGCAAATTGAACATCGAAGAAACACAGATGAAATGAAGAACGAGAAAAAAAGGGAGTGAGAGATAGGACGAGAGATCTCGCGGATAGAGCATCGCGGATAGCGAAACAAGAGTCAAGATACATTAGTCATGTGGTATCCTGAGGAGGGGAGGAGAAGGAGAGGAGAGCGAGGAAGAGTAGCAGTGGGGGTAAAACGAAGGGTTGCAGAGGGAAAATGGGGAGGAAAGGGGAGGAAGGGAGCGAGAGGGAACGAGCGTAGGAGGTCGAAAGTAAAGAAAGAGGGAACGAACGAGAGAACTGTCCGGTCTGAGCGTGGCTCGCGCATGCGCGAATCAGTAGCAATGCACTGGCACGTAATGCTATCGGCGAGCCAGTCTGACGCCAGGCACCGCGACGCTATGACGTCACTGGTCCGCGTTTTTCCACCGATCGTTCCACGACAGCGGTGAGGAATTCATGAATGAAAACGGTCAACTTGCAAGCAACTCTTCCGCCGATCCTCGCGTGCGCCCACGAGCCTCTCGCCCTTTCGAGATCGCCAAAGTAAAAGCGATCTGAAATTCGTCAACGATCAACTCGTGTCGATCGATCTCACGATTCGTTGCACGAAAGATACGCGAAATGGAACGGACCCAGTGCCACTCTGCGACCAGTTAAATTTCCGCAACGCCTCCTCCATCGGCTGGCATACGGATCGTCGATCTTTTTACGAATCTGACAATTGTTTCGCCGCGAGTTATACCCGTTATATCGAAACTATACGCGTTCTGTCATGCGTTCGTCGCGGAGAAAACGCGGAAAATAGGAATATTTTTATGTTCCACGTTATTTTATCGAACGTTGAAGCGCTTATATTTTCTTTATCGTTGTTCTTTCTTGTTTTTTCTCTCTTTTTCTTTTTTTTTTTTTTTAAGATAATTCAAGTTAGAATTTGTTTGTTTGTTTGTTTTTCTTTTTAAATTTCTTCGGAAGAGATACGACAGAATATTAATTGGTTTCTCGTGTTCATTGAAGTGTACATGGGGGGGACATGTAGCTAAATACATAGATACTATTAGCTTGCTCTCCCTTTGACTACATTATCCGACGGACCGAGATTAAATTCAATTTCGGTGTAATTGACACGCGGTTAAACCGTCTGACGGAATGCGTGATGCGTTGAGCAAGTGTTACGTGGACCAATATCCGAGTGATCTATTCCATGTCTGATATTTTAATATTCGAATTTCTTAAACGAATATTTTTTTTCTTTTTCCCACCAGAAACGAAGTTCGTCACGTTTCTAGTCACGTTTCCATTCAAATATATTCGAATATAAATATATTCGAATATAAATATATTCGAGGATATAATCACACAAAAAGTTGCTGTCAAGTATTCTTTTTTTTTCCAGTGGACGCGACATCGAAAGTGAAAGTTAAAAGTCTGGCATCCGCAACCTAGTTCCATTTTTGTGAAAAATATTCTTGAAAATAAAACTCTTAAGTTTTTTACATGGATTAATTATATTACATTTGTGGAATCCATCCGAATTTGAAAAAGCAACGAGTCTGGTGAATTTCTTTCTTACGTTTCTTATTTAACATGTCCAACGCATGCCGGCAAATTATAATGTTTGCGTAACATGTCGTACATGTAATATACAACAATTTGATTAATATGTGTTGTTTTAAATTTTGAATTATAATTTTGATAGAAACGATACGAAATAATGTACCTGTTATCGACTACTTCTGGAAAATCTATCGTCTAACGAAGTAGACTATCCAGACTAACTCGATAATACTCCAATATCGTGATATTGAATAATAATTGGCTCTCCAACCTGTGTAATTATTTTCTTCGAATACGAATCGAATCTTCATCGAACGAATTCAACTTTGCATTCTCTTTCAACGCGTATCCCTTTCTTGCTGTGTTTTCAATTGATTCGTGAGAGAAATCTTGTGTATGCAAAGGGAGTAGAAATTTCGTGGCCTCGTTTCACCGTAACACCCTTAAAATTTGACAATTTCCTCTCAACTATCGCCATTTACCGAATTCTCGAGGGAATATCTGAAGATCAGATATCAGCCACGAGATATCTTTCCCTCGAGGAATTAGTCGATAGAAATTCGCGATAGTAAATTAAGAATCGTGGTACCATTATCTACAATCGAATATCTTTAAATTCGAGTAAAACTTTCCATCATTGTTACGCTTTTCTTCAACTTTTAAAATTTTCTTCCGCGAGTAAAATTTAAAATAGGTCCAATTTATTCCATTTTCAACTGTTTAATGCTTTTTCACTTTCGATTCGTTCTATAGTATATAATTTCGAAGATTTTTATGCTCTCTCGATCGTTCTTATATTCAAATGTTGAAAAACACTGTTTCTCTTTCACAAGTTGCTTTAATATCCTTTAATGAATTCTTTTTTGCAATTTACCAGCATCTCAAAGATTTTTATATACCTTTAATATCCCACATTGAGAAATTCATAATATTTCGATGATATAATTGATTGATTACATTCTATATTAATTATTTAAGAAAAAATTTCGTATTTTGCTTCTTGTCGTAGATAGATAGATAGATTGCAATCGAATTTGATCCTTCTTTTTGTCATCTATCCTCGATCGATAACTCCCGATTACCGATCGAGCCACGCGTCCCACCGCAGAATTCCCCATTTCCAACATACCGCGAAATAATATCGCAAGTAAGATGTGGGGAATGTGGGGGGAAAAAAGCGCATTCCTAGAGTTCATTCCACGACGCATGTCGTGGCCAAGAGTATCATTTTGTGCCTGGGGGTAAATAATTCAAGTCGATTACTTCAGACGGTCCTCGCAAAACACGAGAAGCATGTCAACAATCTCTCGTGCACTTCCGAAAACGATTTCCTCTCCCAGTTATATCGAGCCGATGGCGCCTAATTGTCACGATGCGAGGCGAAACACGACATTTCCATTCTGTCAGCTTGAAATGCTTTCGCATTAATTCGCCTCATTTCCATACGGATTCGAAAGTAAACGCACGAATCGAATACTCGGTCGGTAAAAAAAATAAAGAAAAAAGTAGATCGACCGGAATTTGAAAAAAATTCGAATTTACTTATAAGAATACAGATTTTTAAATTATTCTATATTTTAAGGAAAATGTAATTAGGTTTATTTACAAAAATTGGAATAATGGCGTGAAAGAAAAGTTTTTATCGTAAAAATTAGGGATAACCAGAAGAATTTCCAATATTATATAGGTATTTTTGCCTAAAATTTTCTAATTTCTTCGTATTCCTGATTTCGTTTCAATAAACATTAGATATAAACGTGTGTCCAACATTAATTTAAAAATTAAATTCTATTTTTATTGGTAAGGAAAAGCATCTCTTTATATTGTTATAAATATAGATAATGTATACGAATAATAGAGGCTCCGTTGTATCTATCTTTAACCCGCAATTGAAATTTCATTGTCAAAAGAAATATTGGAAGAAAGATCGATGACGCTCGAAATGGATCCAGCTATTAAGCCGCGTTTACATTAGACATTTTTTCTTTTTTTTTTTTTTTTTTTTTTTT